TCTGTGAGTCTGTGATTCTGCTTCACAATAAATGGAGGAGACAAGCAAATGTAGCACAAGAGCCAGGATTTTTGCACTGGAATGAATTAATAGAAATAATGCAGACAGACCCACTAGCAAGCAAAAAAAAATACTTTAAATTACATTTGTTTTCCATTTCTTCAGGAAATACAAGCATATGAGATGGGAAATAATACTCTCTATAGATGTGTGCACTGATACGAACTAGAATCTGTAAAGATATATAAATGTGTATTTTAAAGTGCAACTATCCTCTGTATTGTTCGTAAGGACAAGTGAAACAAAGGCAAGGATGTCCCTTAGGGAATCAAATACTAGGAAGTGCAGGAAATTGGTTTTATACTTGTCTGGACAGTTTTAACCTTGCCTTCTTGCATCACAAAATTCAGGGTTCCTTTGGGGCAGGGAGGAGGAGAGGTAGAGCACCCTCAGAGATACCAGAACCTGTAACAGCCAGAATCCATGACTAGAGCTGGACACTCTCTCCTGTGGTTAAGAGAATGGGATTTCAGGGGTTTGAAAAGAAATGTGGGGTGTGGAAAAAGACTAAAATCCCATATTTATTTAGTGGAAATTAACCATCTCCCCTTTCATTGCTCTGAATGCCGCGTCAGCATTATCCGAGATCCTGCTGCTGCCTAAGCTACAGCAGGATCGTGTGAGCCATCAGCGCTTCTCCGCTGGGGAAGCGGCACCCCTGAACACCGAGGGCAGCTCTCCAAACTGCTCAGTCCAGCTGTTTTTGCTTTGGACCTGCAGCTGGGACAGGTGATGCCCACACAGAGTATTCATAACCGGCTGCGCTGGAGGAATCGGGTCGCGTTTCCCTCTGCCAGACACCGTGCCTCAGGAAAGATCTCAGGAGTAAAACGTGCCACTTGGCTTTACATGGGAAATCCAAGGAGCTTGAGGGGAAGAGCAGCTGTTCAACACTTCTTATGCTGGCAGCTCCCAGCCATTCTGGGGGCAGCACGCACTGCTGCAGCAGTGCAAACCAGCCCTCGCTGCACTGGGGTTGCTCAGTTGGTTCGGCCGTGGGGTTTTTTTAATGCAGGCTAAAACCCTAAGGATTACAGATCCCATTTTTAAAGCCCACCTGTATTAGAAGACAAACCTAAACAAGACTTTTTGTGGGGAGATGGGGCAAGTGAAGAAAAGACATTTACATAAAAGGACAATTCCCACCATCAGGTATCAACTATTTGCTGCAAATAATCAAGGGTGACACTTCCCAAAGAACACATTCCAAGTCTTTTTATAATCAACACTTCTCTGTAAGAGGTCTATTTTTAAGAAAGAAGCAATCTGCCTTATGCATAGTGTTTGATTGACTAAGTAATCAGCAGAAGTCTTGCCTAATTTTTCTTAGAGACATTAATTTCAGAAAAAATTCCACCTAAACTGAAAGGAAAAAAAAAGAAGAGTGAGAACATCCTGTTCAAAACAAACTCAGTATGAAATCATCTGCTTACAGTGAGAAGTTTGGTTGTAATTCCAGCATCAACCACCGCCTTGTGCATAGCACGCAACGTCTCCAACTCTGGAGCGGCAATAAACACGACATAGGGCATGAATTCTGAAGTCCTCAGTATTTTCAGGGCCTAGAAGCAAAGAAAAAGAACAAAAAGCACCCAAGTTTGACAGTGACTCACCACACGTCCCCCTTACCGACAGGGCACGGCAAAACCGGTCTGTTACAATGGGCAGAAACATGTAAGCGAAGAGTCTTATTTCTACTTCAGAACTCCCAGGCTGCCTTTCGAAGTGCTCAACGTCATTCTTTCCTTGGCTAACAAGGTCATTTCCTGCTCTGCGGGATGACTCCTCCATGCAGAATTTAAGTTGGGTTTTTTCCACCTTTCTAACCCATTGCACAAATGCAAGAATCCAGCCGACACAGTCATCTTCAGCCAGGTAAGAGGCCTTCGCACGTAAAGGCATTCCTCTTCCTGCACCCGCAGCGTGACACCATGACGACGTACCTGTGGATTCACGTCCAAGATGCAGGTCCTTCCTGTCTGAACGACTTCAAGGATGGAATCAATTTTGGTGCCGTAAAGATTTCCTTCATATTCTCCATGCTCTAAATATCTGCCAGCTTTAATATCCATCTCCATTTCAGCTCGGGACACAAATCTGTACGCTTGCCCGTCCTTTTCGTCATCCCTGGGCTTTCGTGAAGTAACTACACAAAACGTACAGAATATAAACGGAAAGTTGTCTTTTTATATTTGAACACAACCCTGAGACCGCAGTGCCTGTTAGGTTGAGTACAGCGCCCATTAATATACAATTTTACTTGTTCTAGACACACATTAATTGATTACTCGAGTGCAGGTTTCAAAGCTGAGCACGGCCCCTCCTGCTCCCCTTATTTCTACTCTTT